TGCGTCTTGGAGGTCGAGGGTGGCCATCCAGACGTTTCTGCGAAGGAGGGGCAGGATCTGTTGAAGCGACACCATACGGAAGCGGTGATAAGCCACATAACGGTTCAACTCCCTGAGATCTAATATGGGCGAATGCCCCAGTCTCTCTTCGGGACTGTGAAATATCGGGAATAGAATCCCATCCCATGGAGGTGGAATGGTACATATTCGATGGCTCCCTTCTGCAGAAGGACAGACACCTCCTCGAGAAGAGGTGGGGAAGGGGGTGTGGATACGACGACTGACGTATTGGGGTTCTGAATGAATTCGATTTTGTAACCTCGGGTCAAGATGGCGAGCACCCACTCGCCCGAGGTGATGCGATGCCAGGTATGTAGAAAAGGTGATAGATGAGTAATTGCTGACTCGGTGACAGGGAAGTCAAAAACTTTGTTTGGAAGGTTTGGACTGCTTCGGGCGTGAAGCCTGCTGGCCCGGTCCAAATTTGGGTCTTTGGAAGGCGGATTTCTGGCCTCCAGAAGATGATCTAGGTCTCCAATGTGTGTCTGAAGATTGGTGGGTAGGCGTGCGCCTATGCCATGATCTCGACCATGTGCGGGGACGATACTGCTGTCTCCCAGAAGATGAGACTCCTAAAGCCCTGGACGCCTTTATACTCTTATCTAGCTCCTGAGGGCTATTGCAAAGGCCATTTGTCTCGAAGATGCTTCAAGGTTGTGCTTGGTGGTATTAAGTTGCTGCTTTGCCAATACCATGCCCTCCGTCTGTATGACCCTGGCTTCTTGTAGTTTGTCATCTGGTAGGTGACTGAGTAGATTTGAGAACCGTTCCCAAAGGGTATATTGGTATCGACTCATACAGGCTAGGTAGTTGGAGGCTTTGACTGCCAGCGCTCCCGTGGAATAAACTCTCCTACCAAAGGCATCCAGCTTCTTTCCTTCCTTATCTGAAGGGGCGGAATGTGACCTTTTGGACTTGGAAGATGATGTAACAACCATAGAATTAGGTTGAGGATGGGAAAAAAGGAATTCTGCTTCCGTATCTTGAACCCTGTACATATGGTCTAACCTCTTCGTAGAGACTGGCGCAGCAGACCGTTTCTTCCATGGCGAGACATCAAGTTGAACAATGTCATAAACAGTGTCTGACGTTTGATGTTGTTGCTGGACTACCGAGAGCCCCAGGGAGTGGGCCATTCTCTTTACGAGCTCCGTATAAGACGTTAGGTTATCTGAAGGTGATATAGGTATGTCCTCAGTAACTTCCTGTGCAGGGGACTTATGGTCGGGAGAGGTGTGAACCTCCGAAGCCTCAGTATCAGAATTGGCGTCGATATCTTCCAATGAGTCGTGATGTCCCATTTGGTCAGATGTGTCCTGCGGGCAAGCTAGTTGCTTAGGTGGGACGATGGGAGTCACAGAGCTTGGAGCGATAGGAGGGTTGAGCGGATGATTTTGCTCCAAAGAATGGTGGGGTGGGTCGACAGTAGGTGGACATGAGAGAGAAGCAGATGGTTTTGTTCTATGAGGCGACCTTGACCGATGAACGGACCGGACAGAGTAACGTTCCCAATCAAAGTAATCAGCCGGCGTTAACCAAGGCATAGATGGTGGATATGCCCCATAAAGGTACCACAGCTGACGCTCGTCCAACGATATCGGTGGTTGTGGGGGTAGAAAGACTCTCGGAGATCAACTTCTGGACCGTGGATGTCTAGGAGAGAAAGCAGCAGCTCGTCTACTAGGCGGGTCCATATAGCCTCGAGTATCGGTATCGACAGTTTCAGAATGTGGACATGGAGGGTAGCTATGTTTAATAGAAGTGGTGTATCGGTGTCAAGGAAGTTCGACGTTGGGAGCTTCAGACACCATTGATGTCGATGACTGTGAAGTTGACGGGGAATGCTCTGCACCCAGCTGGTGACTAATGAGTTCCACCATTTCGACATTGGAGTAAGGACGGTCCGTCAGACATACGGGGGAATCCAACACATGGATGGTTTGTATCGATGGAGGTTCTTCAGCCTCCGGTATCGATACTACCGTTGGAGCGGGAGGTACTATTGGGGCATCACCCAGTACCGGTAACGCTTCCTTCCCCTTTTTCGCCATCTTAAGGGCCTTGGAGGAGCCCTTCTTCACGGACTTATGGTCCATATCCGCCTTAGCCTTCTTTTTGACTGGCGTAGAGGCAGAGGATCGCGTCTTTGACGTCGAGTGTTTCGGTGTCCGACGGTCGACATCGGAAACCGGTCTCGGCGGTGGAGCTGTCGATGTGGATGGCCCTTCTTTCATGACAGAGGCTGGAGCGAGGGCAGATTCAAGCAAAGCCACTTTAAGTCGCGCAGCCCGGTTCTTTCTCATTTGGTTCGTGAATTGAGCACAATGCCGACAGGACTCCGGTTTATGCGACTCTCCCAGGCAATAAATACAAAGTTTATGTCTGTCCGGCGGAGCAAGTTTGCTTCCACAGTGACGACACCTATTTAAAAATCCCCACTTCTTCTTCTCCATAAGAAGTGGAAGCGATGGTTAAGGGGGGGGAGCCCGAAGGCCTGAGGTAAATTTCCCTCAGAAAAATAAAGTCCTCCTCAACTCCTTTTTTCTTTTTTTAAAAAAAAGAAGAACGAAAGTAATACAAGAATGAAGAAAGGATATGATCCTAGAGCTAGAGATTTTGTTAAACTGCTAACTGCGATTCCGATCAGACAAAGGAACGAATAGGTCTTTCCAATGCGGCGGTAAGAAAGGAACTGGCAGGATGTCCGCGCCCACCCCTCTAGGCATGCACAGTGGGGTTCCTGCGCATGCCTGGAGGGACTGGGCGTGAAAATCCATTGAAAAGAGCTTGCTACAGCACCAATCGATCCAGCGCGTGCACACTAGATCCCATGGGTGTGGAGCACAGAGACCACGTCGAAGATCATATATTTGGGTAGAAGACTGTTGTTGTTTTACCTTATTTCTAAGCCATTGAAATGATTTGGGACTCTTTGTTACATATTTTTCTTTTAAATATAGCAATTTTTTGCACTGCCGAAGTTTCTAAGGCATCCAATTTTTTTTCTTTCTAAATTCAACTTTTTAAGTGTTTTTTGCCTCCATATTTCATGTGTTTTAACTCAAGCGACTTAATATTCTCCTTTAATTCTGTTACTATTCTATTTCTTTCTTTTTATAGGATGCCGCTAGAGATATAAGCTTTCCCCTAAGTACCACCTTAAAGGCATCCCATACAATGTCCTGGGTGACAGTCCCATTGTCATTCTGCTCAGAATATTCTTTTATCTCTTTGAAAATTGTCTCAGAGATTAGGTCATTTTGAAGCAATAACTTATTTAATGTCCAGTTAGCTCCTTTATTATCATTTGAATTCTCTATAATCATACATGTCACCCAGGCATGGTCTGATATAATTCGGCTTCCTGTGTCCACTGATTGTATGATATTTAACATAGGTTTTGAAGCTAAGAGATAATCTATTCTGGTATAAGTTTTATGAACCTCTGAGAAGTAGGTATATTCCTTCACCCCTGGGTTAAGAATCCTCCAGACATCTCCAAGATTATATAAATCAAGTAGATCTTTCAGACTTGCAGTTTGCCTTTTCTTCTTCTTTGTATTAGGCATTTTTGGGGTCTTATCCATCATGTGATCCACAATAAAATTAAGGTTACGTCCTACGATTACCTTGCCTTGCTGAAAAGAAGTTAACTGAGCTAAGGTTGATTCAATAATAGAACTAACTTTTAAAAAATTAAAGCTGGGAATTCAAAGAAGCTAGCAGTTTGTGTCAATAGATCATTATAATGTTATAGCAATGTGGAAGTCAATTATGAAAAAAAACCACACCTGAAAATAGCCCATTGGTGACACAAACAGGGGAAATGGATGCTGTGAATGGCTGGGGGAAAGAAAATGGTGCCAATGTGGGCAGGACCTTGGATAATGTGCATCTTCCAGCCAAGAATGCCTGATAACTTACTTAGACTATGCTTTTCCAAAGAAGATAAAAGAAAAGCAGGTCCAGAAAAAAAGGTTATGGAGGGTGAGGAAAGGAAACTGGAATATAATTGGACCACAATCTTGTGGAGATGCTCTCCTCCCAAAAAATGCTGCTGTTGGCCCAGACTTGGATAGCCCAGGCAAGCCCGATCTCATCAGATCTCAGAAGCTAAGCAGGGTCAACTCTGGCAAGTCCTTGGATGGGAGACCTCCTTGAAATACCAGAGGTAGTCTTTATTCAGCCACCTTTCTGAATATCCTCCAGGCCCCCAGTACAGGATCAGTCACCAAAGGTTACCATAACTTCCAGGTGTGCGCTCTCTCTCTCTCTCTCTCATACACACACACGCACATATGAAAAATACAAAAAAAGTGCTTCTGTTGGATAGCCAAAATGCAAAACAAAAACAAAAACCCAAGCCCCTCCGTGTGGAAGATGTCTAAGTAATTTCCCCTTTTCCTGCTCTACCTAAGTATTTGTAAACCTAGATTTATGGAACACTAAGGCACAGTACTTTTTTTAGAAATCTAAACTTTGATTGCTGGTATGGACAATCCACTAATCACAGAAAAAGAAATGTGTCTGGTTTCGTTTCTGAAAAGAGATGTTGCTGGCTATTCAAACAACAAAAATAGGCAATTGTAGATACTGCTGTACTGAGCTTTCCTGGAGACTATACGGGAATCCTAAATTGTTTTGTAACTGACAAGATTGAAAATTCCCATCAATTTTAATAAGATAGTTTTCTTTCTTTTCACTGCTGAGTTTTGCCACATCAATACGTGGGGTGAAAGCACTGTGGCAGTGAACAGAAGCAGAACTTAAATGTCTGGCTCTAAAATACGGCACAGGAAATATTAACTCCTACCACCCCTTTTTGGTTAACCCCAATAATAGTAAAATAAATATGAACATAGCACTTCACCAATAAATATATGTCTATCATTAAGGCAGGGCAAAGCCAAGAACCCTAAATTAAGTGCATCTTCCCTTACCTTTAGTACTGCAATGAACGGCACAAAGTTAGCTCTCTGGAGCCCATTTTTATAGAGGTCTGAAAGAGAATACATTGGTATTACCTTTGCTATTTAGCTGTATGCCAAGATTGTCTTAGGGACTTACAAATAAATGCTCTACATGAATCATGAACCAGGGAAGGAAAAGGGAAGAAACACAACTATAATATTCTGCTGCAATTATATTCTAAATAAGAAAAAAACTGAATATTCCAAGAAAGTCTCACAGAAGGCACCTGAGCAAAATTAGATTTTAATCTAATATGAAATAATAACTCTGGCATTTATTGTTAACCAACACTGAACTTTCAGTGGCATCATATAAGACTTGGTTTACTAACACACAACTCTAAATATACATACTCACTAAGTTATGTTAAAACAACAGGGTAATGCATTTGTAATTATACTGCAAGAAATGTATTGCTACAGGTCATATCTGAATGCAGCTGGGCCAAGAAGAGAGGCTACACTTTATCCAAAGGTTCAGGTGGGTCCAGTCTGAGCTGTAGGTCACTTATCATAATATAGTCTATGATTTCAGGACTCATGGGATCGTATGCTTGGGACCTGGACAGTAGCTGTGATTCATTGTCATGATACAGGAAAAGAGCTGGTTTTTAAACGCACTTTTTTCTACCCTAAGAAGTCTCAGAGTGGTTTACAATTCCCTTCCTTTCCACAACAGTCACCGTGTGAGGTAGTTGGGGAGACTTCTGAGAGAATTGTGACTGGCCCAGCAGACTTCATGTGGAGGACTGGGGAATCAAACCTGGTTCTCCAGATTAGAGTCCATCGCTCTTAACCACTACACCATGCTGGCTTTCATGCAGAAAAATCATTTTAAAGGTCTCCATGGAGTATTGCTAAAATCTATTTCAAGATGGCAGGCAATAGTTAGTATTATTCTAAGTAAAAAGCAGACCACACTGTATGTGATGGTATGGTTGTTAGCTCTAGGTTGGGAATTTCCTGGAAAAAATGGGCATACAGCCTGGTGAGGTCAGGGTTCCGGGGGGGGGGGCTCATTGGAGTATAAGGCCATGGAGTCCACCCTCCAAAGCAGCCATTTTCTCCAGGGGACCATTTCTCTACAGAGTGGAGAGCAGTTATAATTCCATGAGATCTCCAGATCCTCACCTGAAGGTTGGCAACCCTATGTTGGCTTTGCACCAGGGCATACGTCTTCTGGAGGATGATTCGGAAAACTATATGAGAAGCCTTAAGAAGTTTTTTTTTACTTTTTACAGCTGAAGATTTTCTTTTGAATCATGTTAAAATGGGCGATGTTTCCTATCAAGCTGTGGTACTAACTGAAGCAGTCTTTATACACCTTTGGAAGTCCTTGTTTTTACCATACAAAAGAGTGTGGTTATTAAATGTTGGCTTGTGATTAAAATGGTTGTTAACTGCACTTAAATGCTATGAAAAGTAAAAACATTGAGTATCTGGCTGGCTCCCCTTGCCCTATCAAGAAGGAGTTGATTGGGTGAATTAACTAATGGTCATGCACTGTTATTTATGTATTTGTATTTACTATATTGAGACTCCTTACATTTGTATCTCTACATATACTGTTCAAACACTGAAGGAGCTGTTTGCTGAAAGTGGAACAGAGACCTGTCCCCTTCAAACATATCCATCAGGAACAAATAAAAACACACACAGTCAAATCAAAGGTCATTGCACATCAAGCTAAAGTCCTCCATGTACCTTCTGGCCAAACATTTCACAGCCCAGACTCCCACCCAGACAGAAGTGGGGTGATAAATCTGAATATAACAATTGTTCCTCTTTAGATATACGTCCAACCTCTTTTACAAACATACATAGAAGAGCCAGTTTGGTGTAGTGGTTAAGTGTGCGGACTCTAATCTGGGAGAACCGGGTTTGATTCCCCACTCCTCCACTTGCACCTGCTGATGTGACCTTGGGTCAGTCACAAGCTCTGGCCACAGCTGTCCTTGAAAAAGAGCAGTTTGTGTCAGAGTTCTCTCAGCCCCACCCACCTCACAGGGTATCTGTTGTGGGGAGGGGAAGGGAAAGGAGTTTGTAAGCCGCTCTGAGACTCCAAGTGAAGGGCGGGGTATAAATCCAATCTCTTCTTCTTCTCTTCTTCATTCTGTAGGAACTTTGTACACATTTCTGAGATATCTTTTCAATATATGGTAGAGGAAGTAGGGCCTGCCTTTATGGTCACAAAAGCACATTTAAACACAAAGGCCCAATTAATAGGATATAAGTTTTCCTTTAAACTCAGGTATTTCTGTAGTTCATTCTGTCTAACAACACTGACTGTCACCGGTGAGGCATAAAAACCAAGGAGTCGCAGAATAGTTGGAAGGTACAGCAGTCCCACTGTAGCTAAGCAGCTTGGTGTCTAATCCAATGCCTGGGAGACCTCCTGGGAATCTTGTGTACTACATTTTGAGTTCCAGCACAGAAGAAAGGTGCAATATAAATATAATTAATTCAGTTTGCCACTGAAGGTGGAAGCCAAGGATTGAAAATGAGCAGCTTGCCAGTCTCTATCAAATGAAACAGGCAAGGAGCCAGGGCTTGGTGACACAGCATCTGGCTTGTATGCAAAAGGTTCCAGGTTCAATCCTTAGCATCTTCTGTTTACAAAAGGATACATGGTGATGTGAAAAACCTCTATGTCTCTAACCCTGGATAACGCCTACCAATCATAGTGTCCAAGGAGCTTCTCCTAGTCTATAGGCCACCTCTCCATATACAATCCCACATTATTTATAACAATAGCAAAGGTGGAAAGAATGGGGAGGCAATAATGAATGGGATCAGTTAGAAACTGAGCAGTCAGGAACACCTTGGATCCTCTTCTAGGGATACAACATAATGCGTTGCTGTGGTTGTTTGGTATCTGTTATATACGAGACAGGCAGCTGGTGAACAGTGATAACAGCTTTATTCAATGAAGTCAGAAGAAATCAGACCGAGACAAAAACATCGAGCAACAAGCTCCCTTTTAAACAGTCCGGGCTTAGGTAGCCACGCCCACATGTCAGCGAACAACCAATAACTATTTACAGATAAAGTCCAATCAGAGTGCTTCCCTCCTGAACCTTGCGCAGCTCTGATTGGTCTATTTACAATCCTTGTTCAGACTCAAACTTAACATGGTTTTCAATACACAACAATTCCTCCCCCCTAAGACGGAACAACCTGGGAACACACGTAATCTTTCAGATAGGCAGGAGGCTGCCTGCTCCGTTGTGATCGTCTTAATGTTACTACTGGGGGATTGATTGGTGTTTCCCTGTTGGTAGGGCTTTCTTGTATACCTTGGGGCCTGTTTGCCTGAAAACTGTCTTTAGGCGGGTAACTGGGTTCAGTCGTGATACTGGGTGGTTCTCCCTCATGGGAGCTGTCCGAGCTCAGAAGCTCTACCCGTTCATCCGGAACGGGTACGTCTACCACCTCAGTACTGGGCTCAGGGTCTACCTCAGCCCACCTTTTCCTTAGCTGGTTGATGTGCCTTTTAAACACTTGACTGTCAGCTAACCTTACCAAGTAAGTTGGGGAACCCAGTACCTTGGTTACCGTGGCCGGCAACCAACAATGCCCTCCAGCATAGTTATGTGCATAAACCAACTCTCCCTCCTCAAAACCCCTGGTCTGGTCAATGGACTCACATTGTGGGGGTCTGGAAGTTGTCAGGTCCGGGTGCATTCAGTTGAGGGGAGTGGTTAAGTGCCGACCCATTAACATTTCAGCAGGGCTCCACCCCGTCACTGAGTGTGGTGTGACAAGCTTCCTTTTAAACAGTCCGAGCTTAGGTAGCCATGCCCACATGTCAGCAAACAACCAATAACTATTTACAGATAAAGTCCAATCAGAGTGCTTCCCTCCTGAACCTTGCGCAGCTCTGATTGGTCTACTTACAATCCTTGTTCAGACTCAAGCTTAATATGGTTTTCAATACACAACAATTCCTCCCCCTTAAGATGGAACAACCTGGGAACACACGTAATCTTTCAGATAGGCAGGAGGCTGCCTGCCCCATTGGTGGAGGAGGAACGACGCCACCTTTTAGCTCCAGTTCCCCTGCACCAGGCGGCTCAGAGTTTCCTTCGTGGTCCACACCACGAAGTTCCAGTACATTCTTTTGGTTTGCCCATTAGTTGCCGGGTGGAATGGTGTGGACGTTTTGTGATGAATGAGATTTGCCACCAAAAAGTCCTGGAACTCAGAGGCGGTAAAACAGGTCCTGTTGTCAGACACGAGAGTGTCCAGCAACCCATGCGTGGAAAAAATGCGGTGCAGCGCATTTATCACAGTGAGGGTCGTCATTTTAGAGGTCGGGACCACCTCCAACCATTTTGAGTACGCATCGACTATGATCAGGAAGATCTGCCCCTGAAATGGCCCCACAAAATCGATGTGTACTCTAGACTAGGGCCGGTGACACTTTCCCCACTGCTGTATGGGGGCATGTGGGGGATCGGGCCGGAACAGTTGGCACTCGTGACACCTTTGCACCCAATTCTTGATGTCCGAGTCTATTTTAGGCCACCAAAAATAGCCTCGGGCCAGCCCCTTCATCCACACGATGCCGGGATGGCATTCGTGCAGCACTTCCAAGACCTGGGTTCTTAGCTTGGGGGGAACCACCACCCGATTGCCCCACAATAAGCACCCCATGTGTACAGAGAGTTCAAGTTGCCTTACTGCAAAAGGCTTGAATTCATTCGCAACGTGCCCCACCGGCCATCCCCTCCACACCCAGTTGAGCACCCTGGCGACTGTGGAGTCCTTGGCTGAGGCGGTCGCAATGTCCGAGGCATGCACCGGAGGTTTGGCCAGTTCCTCGACGGCCATGACCTCGAATGCTGGTGTAGGATCCGAGTCCAGCTCAGGCAAGGGGCACCGGCTAAGGGCGTCTGCATGCCCCATGTTCTTGCCTGGGCGATGTTCCAGTACGTAATTGTAGGCAGACAAGAATACTGTCCAGCGCAACATCCTAGCTGAAAGTATGTTGGGCGTTTGCCGGTCAGGCGCGAAAATTCCGAGGAAA